AAAATCCAGTTCAGACTAATAATTCTTTGTAATGTGAGCTACAAAATCCTCACCAAACTCCTAGTGGCTAGACTCAGACCTTTCCTGGACAAACATATAGTCCCAATCAAAGCAGTTTCATACCTGGAAGACAGACCACTAATAATGTCATCATCACCCAAGAAATTATCCATATAATTAAAAGGAAAAAAGGGAAGGTGGGGGATATGGTTATCAAAATTGATCTTGAGAAAGCCTATGAAAGGGTAAATTGGACCTTCCTTCACCAAACTCTTATGGATTTTAATTTCACAGCCTCTTGGATTGATATCATTGTGAGCTATGTCATTGGATCCTCACTTTCTATTTTTTGGAATGGTGAACCACTCAATCCTATTACACCTAAGAGGGGCCTTAGGCAAGGGGACCCTTTGTCACCCTATCTCTTCACGCTATGTATGGAAAAGTTGGGACATTTAATTAACAGAAAAGTGGAAGAGAAACTTTGAAAAGGAATCAAAGCTTCTAAGAATGGACCTTCAATTACTCACCTCTTCTTTGCAGATGATATCATCATTTTTTTAGGGCAACTGAAAAGGAATGTGATATGATAAAGGAAGTCCTTGGAAACTTCTGCAACATTTCAGAATAGAAAGTTAGCCTAGCCAAGTCCAGGGTGTTTTTTTCTCCCAATATCTGTAGAAATAAAGCTAGACACCTAAGCAGAAGAAGTGGTCTCACTAGTACTGAGGACTTAGGCAAATACTTAGGTATCCCAATCCTGTATTATAGAACAAATAAGGATACCTACAACTTCCTTATTGAAAAAATCCAAACTAAGCTTAGTGGATGGAAGACAAAAAACCTTTCCATGGCAGGGAGGGAAACACTCATCAAAGTTGTTACATCCACGTTCCCAAATTATACCATGCAGACCACATGGTTACCCTAATCCACATGTGACAAAATTGACAAACTCAATAGGAACTTCTTGCGGGGAGATACTGAAGAAAAGAAAAAGGTCCACCTCATTAATTGGGATACTGTATGCAATCCTAAGGAGAAAGGAGGGCTAGGCCTTAGAAAAACAAGAGTGAACAACCTTGTTATCCTTACTAAATTGGGATGGAATATCAAGGCTAACAAAGATAATTTGTGGACTAGAGTCATTAAGGAAAAATACATCAAAAATACCTCCCTAGATTAGGAACATAAGTCCAGTGGCTCCCCAATTTGGAGTGATATTCTCAAAACAAAACATATTATCAAAGAAGGAACTAAATGGCTTATCAGTGATGGTAAAAATATTTCTTTTTGGACTGATTGGTGGTGTGGATAAACTTCTATTGTCAATAGAATGCAGATACCAGCCACAACTGACTCCAACACCCTAGTGGCAAACTTCCTTGACTCCACATGTAACTGGAACTTGAATCTCCCAGGTATGTCTCTCTCCCTAAAATTTTATCAGATATTCAGCTCACCTGTATCCCTATAAATTGCAATCTGAAGGACACTCCATGTTGGGGAATTTCAAGTAACGGTAATTTCTCTGTTTGTTCCACTTATAAATAAATCTTTGAATCTGGGGAGGATAATAACCCCTCGACTCTGAGCTGGGACTAGATTTGGCACATGAAAATCCCACAGAAACTCAAGGTCTTCCTCTGGATCGTCCAAAGTGATAGAATCCTATCCAACAACCTTAGAGCAACCAGGAACATGACTAATGATCCAACCCGTGAGAGATGTAAAACCCACTGTGAATCCACCTTACATATTCTAAGGGATTGCTCCAAAGCAGAGGCAGTTTGGAGAGTTTTCCTAGGTAACAACTGGTCCAGTTTCTAACCGATAATGACCTGCAAAAATGGCTCCTTGCGAATCACAAAAACAAAAGAAAGGAAAAGTGGAAAGGAGTGGAATGGTCTATTGTTTTTACCTCGGTCAGTTGGCACATCTAGAAAGACAGGAACAAGGAGTGTTTTGAAAAAACTCAAATCCCCCCTAGTGTCACTGTCATATATGCCTGGCTTATGGCCCAAGAGATTAACTCTAACTTCCTTAATAATTTAAATTGTCATGATCCTTGCTTAGAAAATCTTATTAGTTGGTCTTTCCCTTCCACAGGATGGATGAAACTAAATGTTGATGGGTGCTCCAAAGGGAATCTGGGACCTGCAGCATTTGGAGGTCTTGTGAGAAGTGACCAAGGAGTTTGGCAGCTGGGTTTCTATGGAAGACTCCCTAACTGCTCAAGGATACAAGCTGAATTATGGGCCATCTATAAGGCCTTCAGATTACTCATACCAAGGGGATAAAGAAGATCACTGTGGAGACCGATTCTATGGAAGCTCATAGACTCCTCACGACAATGCTGGAAGACACACACCCGGAGAGAGAGATCATCTTTGAATGCAAAAGGCTCCTCACCCTTCTCAATTATCCCATCCAACACACCAAAAGAGAAGGAAACTTCAGTGTAAATAAGCTTGTTAATTTAGGTGTCAAACAAAATGATATTTTTGTGCTCCTCAACTCCCACCTTGCTCGTTGGGAGAGCTTTTGAGAAATGATAGTGCATGTATTGCCTATGTGAGAGGCTTTTGACTCTTTTGAACTCTTCCAATGTACTGAAAAAAAATTATGGATAAAATAAGATATTAAAAATTTTTCGCAGATACTGACATTTATAAGTAGTATAAATATAGATGCAATGATGTTGCTACAATACTAGAGAGATTAAGAGATAAAACACATCTCAAACTAAAATATTTTATTTTAGGACTACTTAATAGTGTTTTGACCATAAGCCATTAAAACTCATTATTCAGGCTACAAAATTAAAAAAAATTGATAAATCTTCTGATATATGTGATGTGCGTCTAAATGAACATCTTATATAGGGCGAATGTATCTATTGCAGAGATACATGTATCCAAGATGTATCTAACAATGATAAATATTTTATTAATTATTCGATACGTGTATAAAAAGTATCCAATACGTATCCACGAGTTTCCAATAAGTATTGGTATCTAATAAGTGTGGGATACGGATACGTCACCGTCATCGAAGTATCCATATTTTATAGCTTTTCAGTTTAACAGATATTGAACTTTTATGAAATGTAAGATTCGCCAACTTCCATTTTGATTGTCCCTTAAGATTAACATTGGAGGTGTCAACGTTGCAAAGACCATCATGCGCCCTGAAAAGGACAGGAAAAAAGATCTTTGTTCTGTTCTCTTCCAGATTCATAGGAAAAAAAAGGTTGGTCTTTTAAACTGCCATGATATATAATCGACATCTAATAGATACCTAAAGAGAAAATCTTGTCAAAAAGAAAGGGCTAAAGCTTGATTTGGAGGTAAAAACATTAGTTTCTACTTTCAATTATGGCCATAATCATAGCCAAAACAGTTGATTAGTATTGAGTTTGGCCCAGTTCTTCAGAATCAGTTTTGAATACAAATTTTCACTCTCAGAGTCGTCATAGCTGCATCTTGTTGCAGAGCAAGCATAAGCATATATCCTATTTGTTTTGTCTTGGACAACTACTGGCCGAAAGTGTGAGAGAACAACTGAAGTGAAAAGTGGCAACATGATGATGAAAAACAAATATTACCAGGAACAGAATATTTCTTGTGATTTGCTGTCCATTGATTGGGCTTGTTAAGACATCATACAGATCTATAACGGCTTAGATTTTGGGTGCCCTATGTGTGAAAACCTAGGAAAAAAACTTATAAACATTCAGATGTGTGGTATGTACCCAGCAAATTGGAAATAATGTTCTTCATCCAAAAACATTTTAGATGAATATCAGCACAACCTTGCCTAATCCTCCAACTCTTGTGTGCATGGGACCGTCGTGAAGTTTTGCTGCTGTTTTAGTGATGCACTTGGAAAAATACTCGTTGAGGCACTCATTATTCTTGTTTATTTGTATGAGTTGATTTTTGTCCAACTTAATTGAAATGCCTTCATTTTGGGTGATTATTTTTATCATTTCCAAATAAGTGCATATAAAAACCACACAGCATAAAAGTTGCTGTTTCTTGGTTTTTTTTTCCATCTTCTTGAAAACTCGAGGAAATACAAAAATTAGATAAAATTTTTTACATATCTAAGCATTATGGCTTTTGATCTGTGTTATTGGAGAGCTCTGTGTGCTCTGTTGTTTATTCCGCAGGCCATTATCACTGAGACACCTTGCCTTTTTTGAAAATTGTTTGGCCAGGAGCTAGGATCGCTAGAGGGTCATAGGTGGATTTCCTCCGGAGGAAGACTTCCCATTTATAGCCGAAATGGATTTTCCACTCTTCCTGTGTAAGGTAATGGGGCAAGTATTTCTTCACTCCGAGATTGGCCATTTTGCAGAAATCCAGAATTCTTTTGTTTTGGCTGAGGATGTATTCTAAGCCATCTGTCCCTGTGGAACATGGCNTTTGTTGTAGTGCACCCGGTGTGTGTATGTGTGTGTGTGGGTGTGTGTGTGTGTGAGAGAGAGAGAGAGAGAGAGAGTCAAATAGAAGATTTACCAACAACACCAATAAGATAATCCTTAGTTGAATGTTCTCCAAACNTGTAAAGACATTTCATTTAATGTAAATAAGAAAAATTGCTAATTTTTGAGATGGCATATTAATCATCACAACAAAGTCTTCTATTTTTTTACAATTGCCAAAATGGTATTTGAGGCTGCACTTTTACCATTGTGACAAAAACAAAAGTGTCGATTTTTTGTGAAGTCTTATTTGCAATAGAGTATTGCTACTGTAAATACTATTTGAAAAGTAATGTTGCCACCATAAAATTTTTTAGAGGTTGCACTTATTATGACGAGACAAAGTTGCCACAAAAAATATTTGCGGTGATAAATAAACTTTTTATAACAACAATTTAATATCACAAAATTTTTTTTTTGTTGTAGTGCACCCGGTGTGTGTATGTGTGTGTGTGGGTGTGTGTGTGTGTGAGAGAGAGAGAGAGAGAGAGAGTCAAATAGAAGATTTACCAACAACACCAATAAGATAATCCTTAGTTGAATGTTCTCCAAACACATATTCCTTGACACATATTTATCAGTAATGTTACATTGACCAAATTTTAGGATTAAATAAAGAGTCTAAATGACATGTCAACATATTATTTGCATACTTATTATTCCTTGGAGAAAACATTCGCCGTTTACACTTAAAAACTTTCTTATATAATAAAACAACTTGGCATCACCAATAAACCAGATCATTTTTGGCGGAGATGGTAAGCTTCAATATCTTTGGTCATAACAAGATGAAAGTCCACCAATGCATTTGCATCTTCGACATCCTCATTAAGCTTCTCGTACTCAAAAGTCCATGTCACCACACTGCTTTTACCTTTTGTATCAACATCAACAGTTATAATCATGGTCTTGTAAAGATCCAAGAGGCTTCCTTCAACCAGCTTCCAAGTGATTGACTTCTTCTCGTCATCAACTGCTTCAACAATATCTCTCGTAACCTTCTTTTCCCCACCTATGGATGAAATCACACATCTCGTAACCTTGAGAGATGAAAGCAGACTTTACTTGTAAGTAAATTGATGAGTGGATTTTATATCTACGAATTGAGTATTTTTGATTTGATGAAATTGCAAGTTTTCAATTATTTTATGTTCTTTTTTAGTTATTTTGTGTGTTTTGATGTTATGGTGTAGGGATGATCATTTGGGAGAAAACAAGGTTAAATTGGAGCTTAAAGGTTGGATTGTTGAAGAGGAAGCATAAAGGGCATTTTAGGCCAAAAAGGGGGGGCGCGCCCCTGCGCCATCAAGGCAGTGCTTCAGCGCCCTTGCACCATTTTTGGCGCAGCTGTGCTTGTGTTGGTTCGTGATGCGAATTTTGACTTGTTTATGACCCAAAATTTGACTCTAAAGCTACATATAAGTTAGGGTTTGAGTTGGGAAGAGATATTCTGATTTTGGGGGTTGATAACATTGGAAAAATCAAGGGATTGAAAGAAAATTGAAAACAAGAATCGAAGGAAGCAACACGAAGAAAATCAAAATCGAAGGCTAGAGAGAAAGTGAAGATTGCAACTAAGTTTTTATTCTTTTCTCTTACTTTTACTTCTTAATTTTTTGAGATGTTGTTTAATTTGAGAATGATGTTTTTCAATTACATTATGAGCTAAATCTTTATTAAGATTGCAACGGAACTTAATGTCTAGTTAAATTGATATACTCTCGTTTCTAGTTCTATTAATCATACATGAGTTGTTTGTCATATTTTGTGATTAATATATGATTGTATGACTAATAATTAATTTTATAACCTAGATGAAATTGGGAGATGAATTCTATGTTTAGATATGAATATGATGACATGCATCTGGTTTATTCTTTTTAGGATTGAATAGTTGGGTTTGTGTATAGGATAGAAATATACTTATATGCCGTGTGTAACTTTTATGAGAGTTTGAACTTAATGAATCTATTCCAACTTATTTTGTATAGGAATATAGTAATTTAATTGGAAGAGATAATTTTATCTAACTATCGGAAGATGTTTGATAAATAACTTTGAGTTCTCAATTAACAACTTATTTTGATTAATTGACTGAAAAGAGAGTTTTAAAGATTTATACGAAGCATTTGAGGAAGTTGTAATCTTATATTCTTTTATCCGGTAAATTTAACCTTGATTGTTAAGTTTGGATTTAGTTTTAATTTAGTCATTTCATAGTTCAATTCTAATTGTTTAAATAAAATTGAATTGATATAAAGTTAGTACTTGAAAGTTATTAGCAATATTTCTCCGTGGGAACGATACTCTATTTATCACTTTATTACTTATTGATCGTGTATACTTGCACGTAAATTGTCAATATCAAATTCGGACAACATAAATCTAGAAAAAGAAGTGACTTACCAAAGGTATAGGACCAGATCATTCTGCATCCCACGGTTCCCCATTCACCTTCGTATATCTCAACACCTTGCATATTACCAGGGCTCATATATGATATCTGGTTTGGTCTGTATCTCCAACTCTCATAGAACAAATGTCCATCGGACTTGATCTCCGTTTGCCCTATCACCTTACCGATAAGACCCATTTCTAACCCAACTATTATCAAACAATGCACAGCAGAAATAAAGTGGAGGCAAGTGATGGATAAAAACACTTGGTCCTTTGGTCTCTATATAACTGACCCCTGACTGAGGATTACATCTTCCAACGTGTGAAACGTGGACGGTGAGATATCTCTATTATATCTTTTCGCTAATATTATAATGACTAAATTTTTAGACTAAATTAAGAGTTTAAATAATATGACATTTGACTTGGACTTATTTATTTGATGTCATGTTATTTGTACCTCAATAAAGACTCTAAATAATATATTGTCATGTCATTTGACTTCTTAATTTAGTCAAAAAAAAATTTGATTAACATAGCATTATTAATATTTTTTTACTTAAGAGGATATCTACATTCACATGTGAGCAAGAAAGAGAGAGTGATTGAGATTGGATACCCACTATGGCACCATTATTGTCCTTGGGGTTCGGTGGCCCAAAGTACTACTACACATCACATGATTCATATGTTTTTGTATAGTTCCATGATAGGATTTATGGGACCACAAGTATAAGTCCATTTCAAAATTTATTTTGGGTGTTTAAGTTTATTTTTAATTCAAATGTTTAAACTACCCCCAATCGCCTTTTTTCCTCACAGGAGATATCGTTGCCAAAAACAATAATATTTAAAACCAAAAATAATAACATTTAAAACTAAAAATAGCAGCATTTAACATAATAATAACACGAACAGAATGGTGACAAAAAAAATAACATTTAAAATAAAAGACATGAACATTGAACGTACTAGAGATAAGTGAATATTATGTAATGTTACTAATTGATATTACTATGTATGTGCAATTTGATTGCATTCATGGAGTCTTTCGTTAATTTTGTCAGCAAAGGTGTCTCAAATATGAATTTGAGATAAATTCATTGCTAAGTAGCATAAGTGAAGATGGATAAGTTTTCGAAAACTATGCGTGTTGAGCTTGTTTTAAGTCTTTGGAAACTATGCGTGTTGTGCTTGTTTTTCTACGTAGAATAAATCTCCACCTGTTGTGATAGCTAAATCAATCCGAGTTACATGCCTTGATCTCTTTATTTCAGTCACCGTCTAATGCGGTGCCTTAATTTTTTCCTATTTCTTACAGTTACTTCCAATTTCAAATGGCAATAGAATGTTAAAATTAATTTTACTTCTACAATGGAGTTCAAGCATCATTTGATATGGGGTTTTTCTAGCTATATTTCTTCATGTTCTTCCAATCAGCCTTGCGAACATCAAAACACCTCCAGATCTCTGAATTATTTGATTAGGTTAGCAAAAACATTATACTAGCTTAGAATATCCACGAGTGTTGGTCACTAGTGCTTTGTGTGTGTGTGTGTGTGTGTGTGTGAGAGACAGAGAGGACTTACCAAGTCATTATTCACACGATATTATTGCGACCAAATTCACCGAACTTAATCAATTAGGTTTAAATAACAACATTTTTATTCATCTATAGAAAGATACACAGGCACCGCCAATAAGATATTCCTACATACTCATTTAGTACTTGGGAAAAAAAATAATCCTTCACACAACTTTCACAAAGCCCATATTTCTTGGCCGATACACATTATTTGCAGCAGAAAATAGTCACACATAACACTTTCAAACATTCATATACCAGACAAGAACTTGGTATCGTCAATAAGCCATACATCTTAGAGAATGTCTATTGCTGGAGATGGTGAGCTTCAATGTCTTTGGTCATATTAATACACATGCCCATCAATGTATTGGGATCTTCGACATTCTCATTCAGCTTCTCATACTCGAAAGTCCATGTCACCACGTTGCTTTCACCCTGCGTATCAACATGAACAGTTGCAATGAAGGTCTTATAAAGTTCCATGAGATCTCCTTCAATAACCTTGAATGTGACTAGCTTCTTTTCTTCATCAATGGCTTCGATGATCTCCTTGGCAACTTTCTTTTTCCCGTCACATCTTCTTGGTATCACATGCACCAATTCAATCAAATAGAAAAAGTAACACTCTCAAAGTGAAATCCATGCTCTAACAACCTATCAAGTAATATATAGTTATCAATGGACCTTTGGTCTAATTTTACTCCTTATCTTATAAAAGTTTTATCATCTTAAGGTTAAGGGTTCAAGTCCCCCTCCCCCTCTCAAAAAAAAAAAAAAAGTAAAATATAGTTCAACCAAGAATCAACCTCTCCAAAGTCGGGTCAAGTTGTCTAAAACTTACTTCTCTCCAAAGTCGGGTCAACATTTTTATTCATGTAGGTATTTTCTCAATAAACATTATCTAATCATAAATAAATTTTCACACCTAGATCAGTCTCTCCACCATTGAGCACATGTTGGTCTAAAGTTAGAAAAATTAAGAATTTATTTTGCTCACCTACGACATATATGTATATTTACGTCAACAACTATCAATACTACTAATAAAAATATTTTAACATAAAAAATTTTTAATTCACTATTTTACTCTTATAAAAAATTACAAGGTCATTTTATCCTTCCATAATTAAATATCTAAATTATCATCATATCCTTATATATTAAAATCTCCAAATTGTCTCTATCATCTCTTTTAGTGATCTATTTTTCATGTATAAATATCAGTTTCTATAAAAAAAAAAATTTAATTGGCCATATTACCCTAAAAAAATGTGTGCACCATTTAATTTTTTAATATAGTGTTCAAAAATTAACCCTTTTATTTTTAGGATAAAAAATAATCATATATATATTTTTGTAAGCAATTTATGTTATATCAGCATAGTTCTTTAGTTATAGAAAACTTTTCAAATTGTATTAAGATTTTGTGTGGAAATAGATTGTAAATGTTTTATAATATACATTATAAAGTAGTATATTAAATTTTATTCTAATATACCTGATTAATTTCTAATTATAATAAAATTGCAAATATGAATAGTATATTAATAATTATTTTTATTTCATTCATTGAATTATAAGTGGAATCATAATCCAATGAACTTCAAAAAAATTTATTTTTCAAACATCACTAGAATCCACACTCAATTACAAAATTCTAAAAAATAGAACTCTAACTACTTTACAATTCTTATAATTAGAAAAACAACTAAGACTTTCTATTATTTTCGTGTATGAAAATTATTCCCATGCAATGCACATTACTGGTCTAAAAAAAAAATAAGAATTGATTTTGCACACCAACCATATATTGTTCNCTATTATTTTCGTGTATAAAAATTATTCACATGCAATACACATTAATAGTCTAAAAAAAAATAAGAATTGATTTTACACACCAACCATATATTGTGCAATCAATCCATAGAAATGCCGAAGAAGCAAACACAAGGGTTTGCCCTATGGCCCACAGTGCTGGGGTTGTGGGTGCTATCTATTTGATAGTGTCATTCCAATAATTGTCTTCCAGATTTTTTTCTTTTTTAAATTTTGGGGGGGCAATTATTGGAAAGGCCAATAATCAACACTATCAATAATTGTCCTCGAGATGAGAGTCATAGATATGCATATCTTGAGATTGAAAATTTTTTGTCATTGATATGAAAGTTGTCGAGTAGAATAGGCACGTGGAATTACACGTGAAGCAGCGAGGATTACCTTACAAATGCTAAATTCTCTGTGGTGGCTTACAGTGAAGTAGTACCGCAAGAGAATGGTAATAAAAACCTTCATCGAAAAGTGAAAAAGAAAATGAAATTGTAAGCTCTTGAACGATGGAAGGAAGAGCAATGCTAAAAATCTGACTTAATTGACTATAATCTTTGTAGTGATAGTAGATTTTATCAAACATTAAAATTTAATGGTAATCTAATAATTCTTATTCAATAACATCATTATATCAACAAATTAGATCAAATTTTTAAGTCCAAATAATATTATTACTCTGGAAAGAATTCCGAGCTTTGAGACCTTGCCCGATTGAACATTGAGCCTGCAACTCATAGGTACCTGTTTCTATACCAAAACTTTTAACAAATTTTAATACCTGCCAATATAAAAACCCACATGATCTTCACTGCAATATTATATTTTACATACAAATTGCCAGCAGTATACAATTTATTAAAATCTGGTCTCCTATGCAATTACAAACATATATATTAACAAGAAAGCAACCACATTATTATTTTGATACAAAGCTTTCTTTAGAGCTTTATTAAAAATAGCACTGCTACTATAATCGCATTATAGTAGAATGTATAACCTTATATGATGATCAAATTATGCCTTTAGAAGCGATTTATCGACGAGTTTGCTACTGTTAACAATCCAGTCGAGGTACGCCGTTGGAGCAGGAACATCCTCGTTGATTTTCTCATAGTCTATGGACCATTTCGCAAAACTGGATTGACCCTTTGTTATAATCTGTAAGGAGACCTTGTAGATCTTGTAGAGTTTCATGGGATCTCCTTCTATTACATCAGCAGTGAGGTGCTTGTTTTCCTCGTCTATTTTGAGCCTTTCTTTCAAAGTCTCCACTTTTCCCTCTAAGGTTATCACAAAAGCAAAGTCCAGTCACTTGCAGTTGAATAAATATTTGACTCAGTGACTTAGTCTCCATGCTTAACGGTGGCATTTCGTTATTACTTTCGCATGGTATCGTCATTCATTATAAAACTACAAATATATAAAATGAACTTCACTACTTCACTAACTACCCATAAGAAAATGTAAAATAGATTTAAAATTTTGATTTGATGAATCACTACCTCTTAATTCTTTAATTTTTAACAAATTTGTTAATCCAAAATGGTACTCCTTGCCGGTTCAAAAACCCCTTCCTCCCCCCCCCCCCAAAAAAAAAAAAAAAAACAAAGAGTTGTGTGAGTTTCTAGTCAAAAAAAATAAAATAAAAAATATTTTTTATTTTTTCTGTGATAAAAAATAAAAATACAAAACATGTGTGATAGTTATTTATGTTTAATAAATAATAAAAACAAAAACAAAAAATATGTTTACTAATGGTTTCTTGGTTGACACAATTATTAGCTTTATATTATTAAACTGAATATTAGAAAAAGAAAACACAGATCCACACTAAATCACAATATACAACTCGGTTACACTGAAACTCGATGACAATATACTGTTCAATCAACTTGAAATTCAAACACACATAGATCTACACTTGCACACACCAACGCAGACACATAGATCCACACTTACACACCCAGACACAAACCCACACAATCGATCACACACAAACGCAAAATTAAGGAAAGAAGAGCAGATCTGAGCTTTAAAGGTTAAAAAAAAAAATTAATTGGTAAATAGTTTATTGTTGGATAACAGTTTTTTATCGGTGCTCTTTTTTATTGTAAGAAACTTTTGTAATAATTTTGAAATTAGCAACAGCAGCTCATACTGGAAATTAAATAGACTAACAGAAACAAATATTTTTATGAGTTGTGTTTTCCTTACCATGAACATATGTCCAGAGCTTAGCAGAACCCTCTGTCTTCCAGTCACCTTCATGTACTTCAACGTTGTGCAATTTTTCAGAGCACAAATTTGGCAGTTGGTGTGCCTTACCACCCCAGCTATGGAAAAACTCATCAGCATCACATTTTATCTCAACTTCAGCCTCAACTTTACCAGCAAGATTAGCCATTTTTTGTCTGAAAAATACGGTCGCAAGCCCACCAAGTACAACTCTCTCAAGACATAAGAGAGGAGAGAGAAAGTGGTGAAAGACAATGCCAATTTCGAGTGTCACGTAAACTTATCGTGTCCAGAATAGTACGAAATATTAATTTTGGTTAATTGCAAGTTGTATTTTGAAAGGTAATTCGAATTTTAATTTAAACTTTTAAAAATAAAAAATTGTATCAATTTGTACTCTAAAATTTCAATTTGTACCCTCAATTTTTTTTTTGAGGGTGTAAATTAAGATTTTTTATCTTTAGGGGTGTACATTGATATAAATTTTTATTTTTAAGTGTATAAATTGAGATTTTTTTATCTTTGGGTACACATTAATACAAATTTTTATCTTTGAAAGTATAAATTAAAATTTTTGATTTTTGAAGGTATAAATTGAGATTTAACTAACTTAAATACATACTTTTTAACAGAATTGGTGTAAAATAAGGGAAGTCCATTTGGCCAGTGGCTTTGTTATTAATTTATATAACAGTTTTTTTGAACTCAAAAGAGCTTACTATTACGTAAAAAAAATTTAAAATTCATATTTTGGAAACTATTACACATAATCTATAATAGGGATGTCCATGACCAGGTTGTCTACGGATCCTATTACCTGGCCCAAAAAAAATAGGTCTAAAACTCGATAGTTAGCCCGCCCAAACTTGATCCTAATATCTTTCAAAAGAGGATTTGAGCTTACCCGCAAACCCATTAGTCGGCCCACGAGCCCGTCTCTTTGCCCTTTCATCCAATTGTTTGAAAAAAATTAACTATTGAAGTTTTGATAATTTGGTAGTAATATATAACCCTACTTTATTTAAATAAAATTATTTATTATTTACATTCATTTTGGCTCTATTTCTAATGGAAATATACATTTTAAAAAAATATTAAGTTGAAAGTTTTTAAATAAAATTGTATATAGATTAAAAAAAAAGGTCTGCTAATTGAGTGCCGGGTTGAATTGTTGCTAGTCTATCTCTACTTGAAACCCCGTCTAGCCAGTCAAATAACTCGCCCGAATAAGGGTTTTAGCCTATATTATCAAGCCCAACAAAAATAAAATCCGCTAACCTAGCCTGTCCCGGCCCATGGACACTCCTAATCTATATATACATAATTTTTTTTTAATATTTTGATATGAAAAAAGGCAAAAAAATTAAAAAGTCACTTCAATTGAACTTTTCCAACTTTTCAACTTATTAAGTAACACTTTAAACCATTTGGGGGGACTTTTTTAACTCTAACTTTTTTGCGGTATTTTTTAAACCTTAACTTTTCACTTAAAATTTACTCAGACTAAATTTTTTAGTTAGACCAAATATAGGGTTTATTAATCCGTGCCTATAAATAAGTCGTAACTGTATTAAGATTCTAATAAATGAAACCACCATTCTTGTAGACTTTTCACTTAAAATTTACTGAGACTAATTATTTTAATTTCATTCATTGAATTATAAGTGGAATCATAAACCAATGAATTTCAAAAAATTTTATTTTTCAAACATCACTAGAATCCACACTCAATTACAAAATTCTAAAAAATAAAACTCTAACAACTTTACAATTCTTATAATTAGAAAAACAACTAAGACTTTCTATTATTTTCGTGTATAAAAATTATTCACATGCAATACACATTAATAGTCTAAAAAAAAATAAGAATTGATTTTACACACCAACCATATATTGTGCAATCAATCCATAGAAATGCCGAAGAAGCAAACACAAGGGTTTGCCCTATGGCCCACAGTGCTGGGGTTGTGGGTGCTATCTATTTGATAGTGTCATTCCAATAATTGTCTTCCACATTTTTTTTTTTTGTTTAAATTTTGGGGGGCAATGATTGGAAAGGCCAATAATCAACACTATCAATAATTGTCCTCGAGATGAGAGTCATAGATATGCATATCTTGAGATTGAAAATTTTTTGTCATTGATATGAAAGTTGTCGAGTAGCATAGGCACGTGGAATTACACGTGAAGCAGCGAGGATTACCTTACAAATGCTAAATTCTCTGTGGTGGCTTATAGTGAAGTAGTACCGCAAGAGAATGGTAATAAAAACCTTCATCAGAAAGTGAAAAAGAAAATGAAATTGTAAGCTCTTGAACAATGGAAGGAAGAGCAATCTTATTGAGACCTAAAAATTTGATTTAATTTATTAATATAATTTATTGTGATCTTTGCATTGACTGTAAACTCCATCAAACATTAGAATTTAGTAGTGATCCAATGATTCCTATTCAGCCACATCATTGTGTCAGCAAATTAAATCAAATTTTTAGATTCAAATAATGTTTATCTGTAAGGAGTTATCTTCACTTCAATATTATATGTTACATACAAACTGCCAGCAGTATACAATTTATGAAGAATTCCTATTGAACCATGCAATTCTCGTATTTATTATTTGTTATTGTTCTCTTTTTTTCTTGATTATTCACTGCACTACAAATTCACAATGGATTCCATTGATAACTCGTGGATCATGAAATAATTAGATTATTGATTCAATATATATAAGTAGATCCCTTACTTATACATAGAGGATGATTTGCATTAAGAAAACTGAAAGAGTACATTGAAAAATATCAAAATCCTTGTTTTTCATGCTTTGAGAAGTAAGCGTCCACCTCCTTACAACCATTTAATAGAAAGTCAAGATGAGAGTGTGGAGTTGGGATATCCTCACTTGCTTTCTCATATTCCAGAGTCCATTTTGCTACGTTCATACCATCCTTTGAAATAGCCTCGAGTGTGGCTTTGAAGCTCCTTGAAATACTTTGTAACCTCTCCACCGATGAGCCCAAATGTGATTGACTTGTTTTTCTCATCTACAGCCTCTATTTTGTCCTCTGCTATAACAGTAGTACCTAGGTTTATTTTTATCAAAAGCCAGCGAGGGTTGTTAAGCTAAGGAAGTTGGAAACCCCATGATAGCAAATGAAAATCAATTTCATATTGGAAAAAACCAAAAGAAACAAAATAGGATGGATGGTTTCATATAAAAAGATTAGACTATTCGATCTAGGGTTTAAGCTTTTGGACCAAGTTTGAGTTTAACTATTTATGAGTCATGATCTTATCAGTAATATCAGAACCCAAAACAACTTGATGTCAAGAAGACATAACAAGTATCCCATCCTCATAAAAATTTAAAAAGAAATATATCTGGTACATGTGGTATAAGAGTCTATATATACAAAAACTTTTCTAAAAGAAATGGAGAAAGAAATGTTGTTGGGCTAACTAATTGGCATGCAACTTGGAAGGATCAACCCAAATCTAACCCTTCTCCAATACATATTTTATAGTACTTAATTAGAGATTTCTAGAACCCGGGTCAGGCTTAGACAAATGATTCCAACCAAATTTAATTCGGATATTCAAATTGTATTAATAGGATTTTTGAGACCCAATGCAATCCAACGCGAATGAATAATTGTGGTTTCATTTAAACCAAATTGAACTTAATTTTCATTTGGAGTTATCTAATTTGAGTTCAATTAAAGCTTTGAATGGAATGAATAACTTCTAACCATTTGATGGATAATTGACTTTATTAAATATTGGGACTCATTATGAGTCATAATATCATCATGCATTACATCTTTTACTGAAGTCTCAATAACATTACTTGAAATCCTAATAAATATCACAAGAACACAATAATGTGGTGGACACAATTAAATATATTTAAATTATTTTGTCAGATCGAGTTTCACCTAATACTCCGTTTGGTAGGAATGATGAAAAATAAGAGAGATACACTTTTTATCTTTCAAGGAAAGAAAGTAAGAAAGATACATTTTTCTTTCTTTGTATTTAGTAGGATGGATGAAAAATGAAAATGATTAATTTTTTTTTTGGGGCTGGTTAAGATTGTGAGTGACAATCGAGTCGTGTCGTGTCGTGTCAGGTTCGTATTGAGTCATTGCGGGTTCGTGTCGAACATTAATTAAACATAACTCAATTCATTTAACTAATCGTGTCGAATTGATCTGTTTATTTTTGTATCGTGTTCGTGTTCGTATTCGTATATATTCATATAACCTTTGAATAAAAAATTTAATACTAATATTCTATTTTCACTTAATTAAATCCATGCTCATTCTTTTTCTACAAACTAAAAATTAACTTAAATAAATATAATAATAATAATGAGTAATAATATTTTTTTTTATATAATAATATGTCAGTGTTTAATAAATAGTTACAAATAATTAACATTTTATATCTATAATACTAGTTAAAATGTTAATTTCGTATTAATTTTGTGTTACCATACAAACGAAAAAATAGAGAAAGTGTTTATTTTTAAATAAACGGGTTGATAGTGCCAATTTTGGGTCTGACGGGTTGAACTGAATATGATTCGTTTATATTTTATGTTTGTGTGTAAGGTAATTTTCTAGTTCGTGTTAAGTTATAATAAAGTTTGTGTTATAAAACTCGTGTCGAATTCGAGTCCTGTCATCGTGTTGAGTCGAAAATTTTCACCTTTAGCTAAGATGGAAAAATATTTTTTTTATTTTAATTTTTAATTTTTTTATAAAAAAATTTAAATATATAAATGAAATTAATATATACATAATATATGTATATATCAAAAGACATATAACAAATAAGATACATTTCAACATAAATAATTAACTTTTCATCTACTTTTTTTCCGATTTTAGTGAGTTGGAAGAAAAATTCATTCATCTACTTTTTCATCTTTCCTATTTTCGTTCCTTACCAAATATAATGTTTTATCTATCCCTCTAACTTTTCATCATTCAATTTTTTTATCATATTAATTGGAGCATAAATATTTGGTCAGTAAACATTATCTAATCAAAAATAAATTTTTACACCTAGATGAGTCTCATCCATCATTGAGCACATGTTGGTCTAAAGTTAGAAAAAATAAGAAATTATTTTGCTCACCTACCACATGTATCTAGAAAAAATAAGAATTGATTTTGCACACCTACCATGCATTGTGCAATCAATCAATAGAAATGCTGAAGAAGGAAGCACAAGGGTTTTTTTTCACGAAGAACACCATGTCCATGCCCCACAACTAGAACACCATGTCCATGATATCTATTTGATAGTGTCATTTAATGGGCCCTTCCATTAATTGTCCTCGCTATAAGAGCCATTGATATGCATATTTTGAGATTGGAAAATTTTCATCATTGATATGAAAGTTGTCGTGTAGCATGGGCATTTGGAATCGCATGTAAAGCAGCAAGAGTTACTTTACAGATGCTAAGTACTCTTGGGTGACTTATAGGGAATCAGTCGCGAGAGAATGGTGAAAATAACCCTCAACGGAAAGTGAAATAGAAAATAAAACTGTAAGTTCCCAACAAGCAGCGGAAAGAATCCCGAACTCTGACCCCCGTGCCCTACCGAAGAATGAACCTACAACTCATAGGCAATTTTTTCTGTACCATAACTTTTAACAAATTTTAGATCTCGAATAATGTGGTGTATTAATAGTTATTGGATAATTAATGAGATTTTGTGGGACTTGTTGATCATATGATTCACATTAATTGAGATCCAATATTTGACTAAAAATCTGGTAAATATAGCATTGTTAATGAAACTTTTTTTCTTTTAATTTTTTACTTTTTTAAAGGTCCGATAAGAGCCTAAATCAATATAATAAAACATATAGCAATTTAAATTTTTATCCCCTAAAAATATCACATCACTCATTTTTATCACATATTCAATCATTTAATATTTAATTGATTTGTAGTTTAATATAGTTTTTATTTCAAACATTATCCAATAGTATACATATGTTGAAAAAATTTAATATAGTGAGATCGATTTTTTAGATGCTTGAATTTTATGTTTTATAGTGCCTTCAGGTACGGATTAGAACTATTTCTCCATAAGAGATAATTCAAGAGCACTTTATTCAAACATGTTCATTGGAGCACTTTATCGTTATTCTTTCATACAGATTTTATTAATCAACACATAAAAATAAACAATAAAAATTGCATAAATTATTTTTATTTGCTATGCAAGTTAGGTTCAAATAGAATTATTTGGAATTAATTAGTTGTTCTATTAATTGAAATTGGTCTTGGGTTTTTTCCAAGACCGGCTCAACCCACAAAGCAGCTAAGGTGGCTGGGGTCCATTTTAATTGCACAATAATATTCTTCTTCTTCACTTTGTTTGGTAAGTTTATGGCATCGAAGAAGATATCATACTGAAAAATACAATAATTAGTGATTAAATTATAATTTTTGAAGGTTAAGTTATAATTCAAAAAATTATGATTAATTGTGAAATATCATTATCGATCACAAAAAATATAACTTTTAGAGTTCAAGTTACATTGTTTATAGGTTAAATCGCATATTTTAGAGATTAGTCATGATCAAAATAGCCAGTAATCTATTTGTTAATTGATTGGTAGCAATTCATGAATCTCTAAATTAGTTCGCTAAATTAAGTATCGGTGATAAATTTACCCCCACTATGATAAATTTCTAGATCTGACCTGGGAATAAGGCAAGCATACCCATTGCACCTTAGTTTTCGTTCTAGCTGTGGAAACTCATTTGTACTCAACCGGTAAACATAAAGATAAATGTAAGTTGGATTCAATTTTATAGTTCAATTATGTATTCCGGTGATATTTACTCAGAAAATTAGGCAAGAAAAGTAAATTTTGTGCTTAAAAATCCACCTAGTGTTCTGAGTAACAACGACCAATATCAAAATTTTACATCCTGAATATAACGATAGAATTTAGTATGGACAAATAGGAAGAAAGTATATAAGATTAAATATTTTAGAAATTGAAACTCTAAAAAATTTGGAATGGGGTTTGGACTTTGGAGCTCTTTGAAGTCTCCTAAATATATCACATTATATTAGGTCAAACATTAAAATATTAAAAACTATCTTAAAACTATTTTTTTTGCGCAAATTTGTTACCAATTTCACTTTGGTCCACTGCCACGGTGAATTATGTGTAGGTTTCAAAAGGATCATACCTATGAAGCAATCCGCTAGATTTGGAGATTAAGCCAGATATTTTTTAGGTTTGGACAGTAAGTCAAACAAGTTGTAAAAAGTGTACATATATCTGCCTCCAAAAAATCTTAAAACAAATGTAACCGATCCATAATAAAAATTAGTAAATAAATAAATTTGAAATTAAAATAAAATAATTGAGAAGTTTTAAAAAAATTATTTTATTCCCACAAATTGTAGCTCTGAATTTGAAGTCTCCTAAATAGATTGGGTTGGATGTCTTTGAAGTTTCCTACTCCTGCATAGATTGTAATAGTAAATAGAATATAGAAGGGAACTCTTCTAACTGGACTTGAGAAAAATTTTTCTCCGCACGCTCTCTCTCTCTCTCTCTCTCTCTCTCTCTCGATAAGACAAGTCTAAGATATACTTTTTCCTTTTTAAATTAGGAATTGGGTTAGGGTTAGGATTAGGCTCACGACTCTATCTTCTTCTTCTTCCTATTTCTCATGTCCTCCCCTATCTCTCTCCATCTATATATATAGTTATATTTATAGAGTTTATCATTCTTAACCTCTCATGGGAGTACGCACTGCCTTCTCATCAATGGATCCAACCAAGACGCAGCAGCGAGAAAACGAGGATGATGATGATAACGAGGTATATAAAAATAGGTCGTCGCCACATAAAATATTAGAGATTAAGACGACTGATGGTCAGAAGAAAGAAGAAGACACCGAGAAACAAAAGAAGGAGGAGGACTTGCTGTCTGATGATGATGTCATATTCGCTTGCTTTACGCACGGTTGCCTCTTTTTGAGTTTATTTCTGATTGTCTTTTCGCTGTTTTTCTATTATCTGTCTCTGCGGCCCTATTCTGGTGATGACGTCAGGGTGGGTGTGGCATTTGTTGCGTCTGCTTGCTACCTTTTAGGTGCCGAGAGTGCTTGGCTTTTGGGGACTTTGATATGCAGCTACGTCGACAACCGCTTTAAACGGCCAAAGAAGGTTGAACCTGCATGGATTTTTCCTGTTGTTTTAATCGCCATTTATAGTATTGTTTATTTTTTCATTATTTACTAATGTCTAGTGTTACACAACTTACACTAGTATCTATATAATGTGTATTAGACTTGAGGGTCATGACTACTGAATCAAACTTATACATTGAGATACTAGTGGTTGGTTCCATGCGATACAAATACATAATATGTTTACTTTTCTTGTTTATTATCTTTCTCTGTTTGTATGCGGGTAAGTTCTTGTTCCCAAGGGAAAAAAGAAAGAAAGAAAAAAAAAAAAAAAAAAAAAAAAATGCTTTCAGGTTTGGAGTTCGCAAAGTTAGCAAGTCCAAAGAATAGGAGCAAATCCAGAAACAACTATCATCCAAACTTGCACGGTGAACGAATGATAATTAGGCTTGCAATGTTTAGAATTTGAGTTATCAGGATTCAAATTCCGGTCTGAAACTAATTTAAAAAATTGATGAATTTTGTTCTTTTAAATCCGAATACTTGTTCAAAAAAAATTACATATCCGAATACATTAATATAAATTCAATCGAATCTATGTGTCTCTAAAATTCAATTCAAACAAATCATATCCTAATTCTCGTCCAATTTCATCAAATTATACTCAATTTTATCAAATCCCTATACTATATGTATGTTAATCAGGCAAAACCAATCAGGTCGAATTATAAATATATTGAAAAATCATAATTTTGAAATATTATTTAACCAATTCGAAGTCAAATATCTATATGAAATACACTTTACACCTGCCAATATAAACCCGCATGATCTTCACTTCAATACTATATTTTACATACGAATTGCCAACAGTATACAATTTATTTAAATCTGGTCCCTTGAGCAATTACAAACATACACATTACAAACATACACATTAACCATAAAGCAACCACATTATTATTTTGATATCAAGCTTTCTTTAGAGCTTTATTAATAATAGCACTGCTACTATAATCACATTATAGTAGAATATATGACCTTTTATGGTCAAATTATGTCTTTAGAAGTGATTCATCGGCGAGTTTGCCACTGTTAACAAGCCAGTCGAGGTACGACGTTGGATCAGGAACATCTTCGTTGATTTTCTCGTAGTCTATGGACCATTTCACAAAGCTGGATTGACCCTTTGGTATAATCTGTAAGGAAACCTTGAAGACATTGTACAGTTTCATGGGATCTCCTTCTATTCCATCAGCAGTGATGAGCTTGTTTTCCTCGTCTATTTTGAGCCTTTCTTTAAAAGTCTCCACTTTTCCCTCTAAGGTTATCACAAAACCAAAGTCCAGTTACTTGCAGTTGAATAAATATTGACCCAGGAACTTAGTCTCTATACTTAAGAATATATATATTACATACTCTACTTAAATATTTATGTAACGGTTGTCACATGCTGTTGTCATTCATAATAAAACTACAAATGTACAAAGTGAACCCCACTACTTCACTAACTACTTCACTACTTCACAATATACATAGATCTGTACTAAATCACAATATACAATTCGATTAACCTAAAATTCAATCACACACAAATCTACACTTGTGTACACCAACCCAGACACATATCTACACTTACACACACAGACACATACACACAAACCCACACAAACGCACACCAGATTTGATCTTTAAAGTTAAAAAAAAAAAATTAATTGGTAAAAATAGATGCAGATCTGTGCTTCAGAGATGCCAAATCGATGAAAAAACAAGTACATCTGAGATGGAGAGGAGAGCTTCTTCCATTCTTTGAGAGAGAGAGAGAGAGAATATGGCTTTTATACTTTCAACAAAAAAAATATGTAAATTGTTGCTAATGTGGTCCAAATGTAAATTAAGTCTCTATAACATTGTTTTAAACTTGGGACCCCAACTTGTCTTCTTGTTGGCCTAAGCTTGTAGCAGTTAGTAAGATATAATTTAATGTTGGATAATACTTTTTTATTGTTAGACACTTTTATAATAATTTCGAAATTAGCAACAGCAGCTCATACTGGAAATTAAATAGACTCCTCTAATATTTTTATGAGTTGTGTTTTCCTTACCATGAACATATGTCCAGAGCTTAACAGAACTCTCTGTCTTCCAGTCACCTTCATGTACTTCAACGTTGTGCAATTTTTCAGAGCACAAATTTGGCAGTTGGTGTGCCTTACCACCCCAGCTATGGAAAAACTCATCAGCATCACATTTTATCTCAACTTCAGCCTCAACTTTACCAGCAAGATTAGCCATTTTTTGTCTGAAAAATACAGTCACAAACCCACCAAGTATAACTCTCGAGACATAAGAGAAAAGAGAGAAAGTGGTGAAAGACAATGCCAATTGCCTAGTCTTTGTACCTTATATAGAGGTCACATTTGAGTCTGCCCTTGTGGGCCAATTGCACGTAATCATTCGTTAACCAATAATTCAATAATGACATGCACCTGAAGGGACCATAGTACTCTTAAAACAATATCGCATTCGTTACTCAAAATGTAGAGTTTTAAAAAGTCTTATAACCCGAGAGACTAGTTAATAACAAAATGAGTCCCAATTAATAGACCCAATAAAGCCCAACATACATCAATTTATAGTATTGGGACATGCTTGTAAGGTCACTTGCAACATTTGTGGTGAAGCACTTGATCACATTATCTCATGGCTGATGTGTATGTGTTTGTATTGATCACACCTACCCACTTACAGTAGTAACAAGTCTATGACAATTTTTTTATTAGAAGATAAATAGTGTGTTTATTCAAGAAAATTACGACATGACAATGACACTCCTAAGGGGATTACGCGCACTCTTAAAACAATATCGCATACACTACATAAAATGTAGAGTTTTAAAAAGCCTTATAACCTGAGAGACTAATTACTAACAAAAGGAACCCAATTATTAGGCCCAATGCAGCCCAACATCATCCATCTTGGAACACACAAACCTACACACAATAACCCGACCCAAAGATATACATTTAAAGCTCTCAGGTCAAATCTAAAGTAGGGCTGCTCCTATCAAAGGCTTGGATCGAGTGAGTCATGGCAAGGTGCACCAAGTGTAACTGCATTTGTATCATTTGGGGTTCATGAACTGTGTAAACCATGTGTAAACCAAATTTAGCGAGTTCCCGGTTTCGTGTCGACGTATTTGTTTGGTGAGTGTACCGGGTCCAGCCATTTAACACTCAAATTTACTAATGCCTGAATTTAAATTCATTAATTTTGAATGTCATGTAAACTTATCGTGTCTAGAATATTATGAGGCCTACACATATATACTACGAGATATTTATCGTATGGTACAGGCTCTTCCACCATGACCATTCTCCCAAATGGTGGAAGGCAGTGGTAGGGGTGTGGGAGGTACATGCTTGACACAATTAGGCAGTGGACCCTTCCATTGATGGAACACAAGATAAAAGAAGCCTTAGATATGCATATCTTGAGTTTAGAAATTTGTCTCCGTCAATATGAAATTTCAATAAATTTTTCCAAGGAAAATTAATACTTCAATAAAAATAAGAGAAAAATCTTTAAAGGAATAAAATTATAAAGAAATGTTAATCGCGAATTTTTTTTAAGTAAAACAAATTTAACTGAAAAAGTATTTTGGAGGGAGTGAGTTCTTCGCAACAACATTCCCTCATAATTTTTACAACTAATTTTTCCCCACAAAAATTTAATTTCCCATGTAAAACTCATTCAGATATTCTATTCTTGTCGAAAACAAATCTTTCTTGGAAAAACCTTTTTTTTCAACCAAAATAACACGTACAAAGTTCCTTGGTAATAATTATTTTTCTTGTGGTGACGGTTGTTTTTAAATTTTATCATGGTTGATTTCCCTAATAATCCGCATTTTATGAGCAGCAAAAATGTTATCGAATATTGCAGCCTAATTTTTGTTATTTCTTTTTATTGGCTCCAATAATTTTTGTATGTACGAATTAGGTTTTTCAGTTCTGCTAGTTTTGAAATTTTTTTTGTACAAATAGCATAATTATTCACATGCCAACTACCGATATCACAAGGTCACAACACTTTCTAAAACATATTATAATTAAGATTACATTATATTTTACTAAACTAAAATCATTTCATCGGAAATAGAAGGTGGCTCATATATATAATAAAGTAGTTAGATTTTTTTGTTTTAAGTTTTTCACGGCTCGGATAATTTCTTAACTTTTGATCCAAAGATTAAAATTAGACTTTCATTTCTTTTACAACTCTAAGACTATCATCTCTCATATAACTCTCTCATTATTTATCTCATACACTCAACTCTCATACGTATATAATTCTCTTTCTCTCAGATATTTTAAACACACTCTTCCATCTCTCATATTCATATTTCTTTTAGACACACACTATCTCATTTCTCATATAATTCTCTCTTTGTATTTCATATTTCTTTTAGACACACACTCTCTCATTTCTCATAGTCTCTCTCTCTCTTAATATTGTTTGTCGTGATGATCCTAATTGGACTTCTTTACTCAAAAAAATTCAAAGTCAAATTAATCATCAATAAAAAAAAATAAGTGACACCAATTGCACCAAAAAAAAAAAAAATCAAATTCAAGCTAATCACCAAAAAAAAAAGTGATACCAATTGCATCAAAAAAAAATTAAAGCCAATCTAATCACCAATAAAAAAAATTGATACCAATTGTACCAAAAAAACTAAAAATTCAAAGTCAAACTAATTACCAATAAAAAAAATAAGAGAAGTCAATTGCAAAAAAAAGAAATCAAAACCAACTATAACATTTTTTCCTTTATTTGCGTCATTTTTCCCTTGCTAATGTTCATATTTTTTTGAATAATTGAATAATGCAAAATAAACACCAAAATGACAAAAGATCAATTAAATCAAATTTTTTTTGAAGTGGTGAAATTTTAATTTTGTTGATTTGGTTTAATTGCAGCATGAGACTATTTTTATAGAATCTGAGAAGTCATAGTGGTAGAGAATTTAAATCAATTGTCCTCGCAGGTACAAACAGATCCGCTGGACAATTTTAGTTCAGTTAAGCTTTTTTTTTATTTTTTAAAAAT